GTGGTTGCCGACGCCGTAGCACGGCTGCCGGGCGGTGGCCTCTCTCTCAATTTTAGAGAGAGGCGAGAGGATTCTGGCTCTCTCTCAGTGTTGAGAGAGAAGGAAGAAAGGAGAATGAGAGAGTTGGCCCTTCGGGCCAGCCGTTTGGGGGATTTATACCCCTTCCCGAACAACGTCGTTTTGGGAAGAGGTATATGCGTAATTTACATGTATGGCTAAACCCTTTCCGTAGCCATCTGAGTTTTATAATTATTCATTTTAGTCACTGAAAATAACTTCTGAATGTTCTAATTCAGCCTTTGAATTTTATTTTATTATGTTTTAATCCTTACCAGTATTAAATAATATATTTAGGACAAATATCACATTTAGTCCCTATTAATTTTAATACTTCTATTTTAATCACTGATTAAATAAATAATGGTTAATTACACTACTAGTATTTATATTTTATGATAATTCTAATCATGTCTCTTAAATATTTATATTTTTATAATTTGATCATTAAATTTTATATAATCTTAATTTTAACCATAAGTTTTATTATTTTTACATTTTTAAGTTCATATATTTATGAATATGATCCATTAGTTTTTAATATTATTACTTTTAATTTCTTTCATTTTAATTATTATTATTTTATTTTATTATTACGTTTGATATATGTTTAAATTATTATCTTCATGATTATTTTATTATTATTATTAAGTTATATAAATATATTTATATAATATTTATTTATTTATTCTATTTGTTTATTAAATAGAAATCCCATTTATAAATTTAATTTTATAAATTACTTTTAAGAAAAATAAACATATTTTGATATGTATTTATTTTTTAATATCTAAGAAAAGAGCTGTCTTAAAATACATAGAAGTCCTTTTCTGATATTCTTAAATAAATAAATGTCCTTTTTTTTATAAATCATATATTAATATATTTTAATTTTTTTTAGATAAATGTTTTATTAACATTTATTTATTTATTAATATTAAGAAAAGAGCTGTCTTAAAGCAACTAGAAGCCCTTTTCTAATATTTCTAAGTAAATAAACATCTTATAAAGTTATATATTAATATATTTTCTTAAAATTATAGTAATAAATTTAAATTAAATAGAATTATAAATTAAATATATTTTGAATTTTTAATTTCTAATAATAGAGATAATTTATAATCAAAAAGTACCAATTTTGGGCGTTGTAGGGGTGCTAATCCTTCCCTAAACGTAACCGACCACGAATCCCTTTTTATTATTAAAAAGAACGAATTTTTGGTTAAAACGCATATCAGTTTATCTTTTAATCGATTTTTTCTTAAAAACTCTTTTAAAGGATGATTTTTAGGTATTCGACCTACCTGACCTAAAAGGCCGATGGCAACTCCCAAATTATTTAAAAAAAATCATTTATTCACATCACTTTTCCCGCCAAGTAAAAAAATTCGTGCCCGGACGAAAACCGGTTACGACAATTGGAATATGATATATATATATAAGAGAAGGGAAGGTAGGGCATATGGTTTGATGGGTGTCATTTATAGAGGGGAAGTTGATGTGATTCGCTGTTACTTTCTCCAAGAGCTTTGCTTTATACGGTGGTGCCATGTTTCTTTTGCTTTCAGTTTTGGGCATTTTCATGCACTTCTTAATTCCTAAAATGCCAAAGCACCCCCTCATTATCATGCATTACGTACCACAATAACCAAGCTTTACATATACATGAATATATAGAGAGATTAAAATCACGAATTAAATCTAATTTTTTTATGAGAAGATCAAAGATTAGAATGATAGAATTTTTATACATGAAGAATTAAATTTATTGGATTATTTTAAATTAAGATCAAGTTAATAAACTATATAAGTTTTAGGGACCGAAATTATTAATATATTAAATCACAAATACTATTTAACAGTCAAGTAATCTATTTTCGTCTCACCTAGAATTTTATAAGTTTAAGTTCGTATTCCCTAGAATTTTATAAGTTTAAGTTCGTATTCCCTAGAATTTTATAAGTTTAAGTTCGTCGTGTAACATAAAATCTTGTGTCTATTTTTGAACAATAGAAGAAGCTTTGAGCATGCAACTAGTAGAGTGGAATAAACCTAGGAGCTTTAGCGTTTTGGTACATTTTGTCGGAGGTTATGCGGTAAGGTGTTTAATATAAGACTAATAAACGGCGTGACTGATAAAAAGGTTACTGGCTAAAAACGTTACCTACAATGTTATAAACTAGAATTGAAAAAGTTATCAGTCGAAGTAACATAACATGTTACATTAAAATGTAATATAGTGTAATAAAATGAGTTATAAACGGTAAATGTTACGAATACTATTAATATTTTAGGTTGCGCCTAAAATGTTATCAGAATTTAAGTTAATATAGCATTGGATTTTCCATGACAAGAAAATAAGTTAAAAGCTAAAAATGTTATGAATATATATAAGAAATACGATTTCTTCCAATAATGTCACGGTTCACTAAGAAATATGTTTTGATATGTAATTTTAATATTTTTATTAATAAAATAGGTTGCGCCTAAAATATTATCACAGTTTAAGTTGATGGAGCCTTGATTTTTTCACGATAAAAAAATAAGTTTAGAGTCGAAAATGTTTTGAATATATCTAAGAAATACAATTGAGTCCAATAATGCCACGGCTCACTAAGAAACAAGTAGCGATCTATAATGTTAATATTTGTATTAATAAAATATATTGCACCCAAGAATGTTATGGTTCACAGAAAGTAGGTTGTCATATGTAATGTGATGTTAATATTTCTTTAATAAAATAGGTTACACCAAAAAATGTCATGATTTATTAAGATATGTTATATTAATATTTTTATTAATAATATATTATTATCGATACTTAATATATATATATATATATATAAACACTTAAAGAGTAGGAGGGCTGCGCCGCCACCGGGTTCACATATATAATTAGTGGGAATCTTACTACGAATGAAAATCTTCTGCCCCTTTTATAGACCCCTTCATATGCCCACCAATGAATCAATGCCACGTGTATTAACTAGTTTTATTAAACTTAACAGAAGTTTGCCTTCAGTTTGCTGTTTTTAGCTCTCTTTTTTCTTTTGCCGTCCGCTACTCAACTCTTTTACCCTTCTCTAACGAATGATCTCCATTGGCGAGTTGATATTTTGATGCCTCTATCGGTTGTATCAGATTTTTTAAGGAAGGTCTGACGTAGGCAATGATGTGGTGGTTCTCTAGCGCCATGGTGATTTTGTTCGCATTGTAAGAGGCAGAGCGATGATCACTTATCGTCTTCCTTCGTCCTCTGCTTTCCTTTCTTCCTGTTTGCTTGTTGGGTTTTAGCCGTTATCACTGTTTTTTTTGGGTTAATCCTTCGGTGGAATGTGTTTGTGTGGAGATTATTCCATCGTCCTCTGTTTCTTCGATCAAACATCGATGATTTTTCACATCACTGCTTGCACCAGATCGATCGGTTTGAGTGTTACTGTCACGTTTTATATTTGCTTAGTTCGGCTATTATTGTTTCATTGTTTAGTTGAAGATGGTAATAGATTTGCTTTTTTCAAGATTGCCATTGAATGATTTCCATGGTGGGAGACGTACATTCCGACGAGGTATACGACAGCTCCAATCTCTATTATTTGGGTTGTTTTGCTTCTTGTTAAGATTTAAGTTTTGCTCTATAATTTATGCTATGTCACCGTGGGTGTTTGAGCTATTATTAATAAGAAAATTTCAAGCTTTTAGATGCTAAATTGCTGGAATTCATGATTCACAGACGATCAGGCAATGAGCCACACTGGTGTATGTATTTGATGTTTTCTATTTGCTGTTGTCCATTGCCAAAACCATTGAAGTTTTAAATCTCTAACCTTTAAATTTGCAACGCCAATGCTATCAGAACGAAGGAATTTGGACTCAAAGTATGACTCACTAATAGATAAAAGAGTAAATTTCATTAATACAAGTGGCATTGAATCATTGGTGGAGCATAAAGAGGGGCATGTAAAAGGGGCAGAAGATTTTTGTTCATCTTACTACAGCATGTTGATCATAATACTGTCCCATCTTCGTCTTTGACATGTTTGCTACAACCGACTTACCTTAATTATGCATTTAGTTTATATGAACGAGTACAGGCACAGTCGATAGGCTAAAAGCTGTCATGACTCGCTAGACTAATGAATATTCTCGTTTTTTCTTATCTTCCGATCGAGTCGAGTTTTAAATTAGATGAAACTTTTTTAAAATCAAATCGAATTGAATAACGAATGGAAAAGTATTAGACTCGAATCAAATTCGAATGAATTAAAAACTCGGACCTAGACCTATAACCATCTCTAAGTATAAGTCTTGATCATGTGGTTGGAGAAATTGGAAGTATCCTGTCCAGGGAGGAGTTGTGATGAAAACAAATTTAATCAAGCAGTCTGTTTTATACAATAAAATAACGATAACAGACAAATCTCTGATTTAAAGCTTCAATGGCAAGTATTCTTTTATACGGGGATCAATTCAAAAGTTTGCTTCTCTAGTTGTACAACACAATGCAGTGGAACCAGACTGATCTTGGCCATGTACACTAGATTTCCCGTATCCACCGAGATTTGTTTTTGAAAAGGTTAAAACTGTTTAATTTCATAGTAATTTTGATTTTTTTTAATAGTTTAAAATGATTAGAAGATAATATTTATTCATTTTTTAATTAATTACAATATTACGTACACATAACCTGAAACATTTGAAGAGAATAACATTCCCGAACGATACAATAAGATCTCATGTAACATCAAAAGATGTGACCCTCAATTTCCACTTTCAAATCTCACAAAATTAGATGTATTTTTAAAAAAATAATATTATTTATCTTATTTAAGGTTCATCATTGAAGTACATGCGATTGTATGAACAATCACATATAATTTACAGAGCCTGTGTATGTCTATCAAATAATTTGTCGTGATTTTCTTTTAGAAAAAGAAATTTAAAAATATATAATGAAATTGTCATTTGTCTATAAATGGTTTAGCTGTACATCTGTGGCAATCCTCTCACTCAATGTGGTTCCTAATATAATGGAACAATTTTATATAAATGAACAAAAAGGCACTACAACAAATCGACTAATATTACATATTTCTCTAGGGTTGGACTACCAAATAAGGGGTTTTGGGGGGGGGGGGGAAAGAATTTGTACAAACAATGTTCCTTCGAATCAATTCATTTTGGTTGGTTTTGGCTTCGGCTTTGACCTCATGCTAGCCCTTCGAGCAACATCCCATGCCTTCTGTGGTGCATATATGCCGAGCTGTGAAGCGAAAAATGACTCGTACCCGGGAGAGTCGAAGGCGAATCCCGTGTGTTTCGATATTTCCCTTGGCAACTGAGATAAAGCATAGCTTCTTGCCTCATCTGGTGTAAGATGATTGTCGGTTCCCAGTAAACCGGTACGGCCATTATCATCAGCCTCGTCCTTGTGAATTTCCTGAACAATCTGATAATCATAGGGGAAGAACCATCTTTGCACTCTGCAAACAAATGTAAACGTGTCAAGAAAAACAAAACAAAACGATATTTCAAAACATTCATAATATATAGTGCTTGAGAAAATGAGGGAAACTAGCTTAAGGGAGGAATGAAAAGTATGTGCTATGATATTAGGTTGATTCGACTTCGGCAGTTCACACAGACAGCTTGAAACTGAGGAATACACGACTTCGTTCGGAAATAACGAAACAGCCATTACGATTCTCATGCATCAACTATGTTATGACTGAACTTTTTAGTTATTTCTCATTCTTACCCTAAGAAAAGGAAATCTCCGAGAAGTGCAGCAACAGGAACAAGAAGAAGAGTGACGTAGAAATAGAATGTACTCATTAAGACATATATGACCCCAAAGATATTCTCCTGCAGTAGCAAATAGTGTCATTAAGTTGCATGCCCCAATTGAAATGGAGGGAGAAAGATTATGAAACATGATTATCGACTTACCTGTCGATCATATGAAGTCATAATACCAGAATATAAGAAAATAAACACGAACCACGCCAGAATGCTTCCTCCAACACTAATGTAATGCCATCTTGTGATTGAATTACAGATCATAAGAAGGCGCAAATTGACAGTTACTACAACACAAGTGAAGGCCATTGTGCTGACATCCCACAGACCAAACATTTTACCGGATGAACCTTGACTTGTTGAACTAGAATCTGTCACAAAGTAGTAGAAAACTAGAGATTGATAGACGGCGAAGAAGGCCCATATCGCAACAACTCTCCACTTGAAAAATATATTTTTTATTCCCTCCTTGTATAACTCAGGGTACCTCTTTGAAAGGGACGAACTGACATCCTGGATGACAAACAAAGTCTTGCATAAATCAAGCATATAATATAACAGGCAGAACAAAACTGTACGAAATAAATAGAAAAATTGCAGTACCTTGTCAAAAAGGCCAACAATAATCACCGGCAGTGCGGTGAATATGACATTATACAACGACTGGAACCAGTCGTCATAGAATCTTTGACCAGAGAATCCAGTATTAAAGGTGAACCAAAATTGAGTCAGAGTGAATGTAAGATTCTTGTAAAAGAAATAAGTTACGACCTGCAAAAAGGTCGCATGAATATCACCAAACAAGTTTTAAAAATGCTTTAATGGGCAAAGACAAGTCAAACCTTGCATGAAATAAAGATAATGCCAACGCTCATACATATCGACAAGAAAAAATGTTAAATGTTTCTGAAAAGAAAGCCAAACCTTGCATAATCTAATATAAGACCAACGCCCATGAACAAGTAGCAAATCTTTAAGAAAGCGAAACTGAGCAATTGCAAAATCACTGGCCATAACCGCTTGCATCCCCTCAAGGCCACTAATTCCAACACCAATATGAGCAGCTTGAATCATGCTAACATCATTGGCACCATCACCAATACTAAGTGTAATTTTACGTGCACCTTTTTTCACTAGACTCGTTACCTGCAAATGGAAAAGCAAATTTTGACATGCAAGCAAAACATCAAAAGTTAAACCTCCTTTCCTCTCCTTCCAATAGTTCAAAATACATATAATACACTTCTAAATTTGGAGAAAAAAAAACAAACTTTCAAAAAAAGTTTCGTATGAACATCAGCACTCAAAGAAAATAGGTTTAGGCCAGAGTTGATCAAACCATCAAACTGTTATTTTGATAAAGTTCTGAAAAAATGCATATCCTGCAGATCTGTCAACACTGCAAAACTTTGTTCAAAATAATAGACCAGATCAAATCTAGTAATTTTATTTTTTTGATAGAAAAATCTAGTAATTTTATACAATGTTCCTTCAGAAAAATGTCATGGTACTTGCACATTGTCATCAATTTACTGAATTGTCACTTTTATCCATACATACTAACACTACTGAAAGCTGAATTAAAGGTGTTTTAGTTGAGTTATCATCAGGAACCTACCTGTGCTTTCTGTAGAGGGGAGACTCGGCAGCAAACAACCGAAGAACAATTCAGGCTCAAATTGAGAAGCATTATCCGTAAACTTGGGTCTAAAGCATACATCAGACACTTTCCATCTATAATGAGTGCTAATTTTGGTCCAGAGACTGTATTAAAATATTGCTGTGCCTCATCAAGGCACTTCCTCAGTTGTCTTTTAACTTCCTCCTTCATAAAGCGTGCAATTTCAACTTGGTCCCCCTGATAAATAAAGAATAATCATGAATATATTGAATAGTTTGTATTATAATAAATCCTAAACTAAAAGCATCTAAACAAGACTAATGCTTACCCTTTCTTCGACTTCTCGAATGGCATCTGTTTCAGAGCTGATGGTGAATTGTTTCATATCATTGTTTAGTAAATTGCATGCTGCATGTTATTAAAAACAAAGGTGAAATGAATAATGTGAACCATATGAGGAATGAACACACGTTTCCAAGGAAAATTAATGTCAAAAGAATATCCTATTAAATACTTGCCATAAGCTATATTTATTGCAGTTTCCATCTTGTCCCCTGTTAGCACCCAAATCTTAATTCCAGCTCTAGAAAGAGTCTCAATGCAATCAGGCACTCCTTCTTGAAGCTTGTCTTCTATTGCAGTAGCACCAATTAAAATGAGATCCTTCTCTATGAGTTCAGCCACCTGCACATAAGTTTTAAACATTTGCATGAATAATCTCAAAAGTTTCACCATGTAAGAAACAGTGAAGTGAACTGCTTATAAACTTTTTAACTATTTTTACTACTTCAGAAACTCCAGAGAAGAGGATGTTTATAAATTGCCTTCCCACTGAAGGCCAGGTCAAGATTACATTGTAAGGGATGTAAATAAACAAAAAGGTATTGCAAAATTTAAAAACAAGCAAGCTGGGATAAACTGAATAAATACTCCATTCAATCAAATTGCATCCCAAAGAAAGCTTTTTTTTTTACAACTGATCCACTTTATTACCAAAAGCAATTACTCCAATTAATCCCTCACCCTGAAGTCCTGAACACTTACCACAGAAAAAGGGGGGATGGGAGGAGGGAAGTAATGCAAATGCCACATAGATAAACATACCTCGTCCAACTTCTTTTCACGATCTCGTAGAGATGACTTGGCTTGGATGAATTTCTCATTCCAGCTTTCATAAACATCTGGAGATAGATCTTTATAGGCCAGGCAAAGGGTCCGTAATCCAGCAGAGCCAAATTGCTCCAAGTGTTCCCTAGTCACTTTTTTTATTTCATCACTTCCACCCACCAATCTCTCATAAATAACAGTATCAGCTCCCTGTGAAATGCATGGTTCTAGCCCAATGTCATTCCCATTTTTTTCCTCTTTGGCCAGAAAAAGAAAACATTGTTATTACTCATCCTATTTAAGAAGTTCCGAAGACTCGTTACCTTACAGTACAGTACCAGCCTTCCATCTGGATAACGACATACAACAGATTGGCGCTTCCTTGTACTATTTAATGAAAAAAATTAGTAGACAGTGCCAACCAGAAAGAATTCATACTCATACAGAAAGACAGGAGTGAAAGATGGATCCAAACCTATTGAACTCGAGAACATTTAAAATCTCATAAGAAACATCTTGGATTTTACCCATCCTCTCCACGTGAGATTCACGAACATATATCATTGTAGGTGTACGCCTGCAAGGAAAAAAAAGCCTCAAATCTAGCCGCAAAGCTATGTGGCAACAGTAACCTCCCCAACTAATGCAATAATCATGACAAGAAAATTGGTTCAAAATTTGTCAGAGATGAAGCCAAAATGCTTTGCAGCCAAAACAGAATAAACTTGAATTAAATTAAACTGTTTATAAGAACTCGTTAAAAAACACTTCTGAACGTGACATAGGGCACCCATAAGCGCTAACCTGTAAAAAAAGAAGCCAAAATGTTTCGCAGCCAAAACCAAAGCAGCCTCATCTGGGGATGCAGCTTGATATTTGATTTTCTCAGGTGACTCGTCACCTTCAGGAAGCACAGTGTGACATATGGCAAGGCATCTAAAAAATTCCTGCAACGACGAAGAAGCAAAACTGTCTTGAAAATTTGTAGTCAACATATTAGACTACAACTGTTTGAATCTTGTTTGGTTGTTTATAGGTTATCTGGTGTATTTGTAAGGTGAGGTAAGGATTACTAAGCTGGGAATGGTCTTTGTGGTGTTTCTGCAGATTGCTTTGGTCTTTGTTGATGTGATAGTCTGGTTATATTTGGTTGTAATGTACTCCTGATGTACTTGGCATTTAAGCAATAAAACTTTGAGGCGCTCTTTTCCTCCTTCCAATGTCCGTTGAGCCACTTTTGTAGCTTGACGGTTATGAAGGGGGGTTTTAACGAGGCCTCCAATTTTTATCCAAAAAAAAACATATTAGACTACAACAACATTCTCAGTTTTATGCACTCCTAAATAATACTAAGTGCATTTAACAAATGACTAATGCAAAAATATAAAAAGGAAAACGAAAAACCATTGCTATAAAATGGACCCATCATAGATTCTATTTGTGCACAAACACCAGCTTTGATCAAATCATACAGAGAAACAGCCCCAGTATTGCCAATCAAGCTCAATAACTCACTTACCAATACATATTTTGCCTATTTGTTGCCAGGCAAGTAGAAAACAGCTTAAAAATTTGATAAATATATGGACATGCACGTGGATCCATTGACAATACAGAATATATACAATGAAATGCAAACTTTCACAGAAAAGCATAGAGAAAATGTTCAAGTAACAAAAGTGGGGGAAAATGTTTGACATAGTATGGCAGGTAGAAACTCATGTAATAATGAACAGAGTATATCACATTTTCCATTCTAAAGTCATGGTAGAATCATCAAGAAGCAGTAGAAGAAAGCACAGCCAAGAATGAGAACTAGTAAAAGAAGATTAAAACCATCAAAACCTCCACCAGTCAAGAGAATTGTGCAAAAGCAGATACTAAAATATGTTTCTCTTCCATTTACTATTTACCACATTTAAAGATCTAAGTGAATTAGAACTAGACAATTCATTCACAATGCTCACTAATACATGGCTCAAGGCAGGAAACAACACTTCACAATAAAGTCTATTCCCAACAGTCGAGAAAGAAAAAGTCAATGAACAACACCGTCAAATATACACAAAACGGAAGTTAATAAATACTAAGTAGTGATGCACAGCAAACCCGTCCATCCCTGCAGCTGAGTACTCAAACTGTTTCTAAATTTTAAGGGATCTCAAATTCAAATCTAACTGAAATTATTGAGGTCAAGCTCAATAAGTTGATAAAATATCAAACCTGATTACTATGCCAACCTCAAGCTCAAGGTCATGGTAGAAAGTACATTGAAAGTTAATGCCATTTGTACTTTTAAATGAATTTTCTCAAATAAAATGGATGAAGTAGATCACTTAATCTTCATTGTTAATAAATTCAAATACAATATTTGCAACATAAAAGATTAATATTGAAACCCTTTTATGTATATTGATTTGAAGTATAGAAACAATAATATATCCAACTGGATAAAACACCTTTGACATACGAATTGAAGTATCAAGAAAAAGAAAATCAATTCCTACAATCACAAGCTATGTTGCTCAGACTTCATTTTTCATGAAGTACCCGTGTATGACACTGGGATGTGGTGATATAACCTCCAAGGGATCCTCCAAATATATGGAAAAACTTAGAAAAATCTATCCATTCCTGTTTCGGATACATACTCATGTCCAACAGTTGTACCCAAGTCTGAGTAACATAGACCACAAGTATCAAACATGACTAACAAACAAAGTCCTTTTAAAATACATAAACAGTTAACAGTATATCTTATTCTTGCCCCCATAAAACAAGATTTTAAATTAATCATAGAGAGACCAAAACAAGCTTTTACTGATAAGCACCCTTTAGTTAAGTACAATGATTCACACTTGAAAAATGTCCCATAATGGTAAGCAATAAAAGCTCTGTACTAGCAAATGTTTCATATTAATATTAAAAATGGCACCATCTATTGCTTTTATTGCCAAAGGCCATATAAAAATACCAATATATACAACCACAAATGTTTCGCATTAATAGGAGAAAGACCATAGTAAAAATACCTTGCAAGCATCAGGATTAGGCTCATTTCTCCAAGCACCTCGCATGAGCCTCACATCATCAAAATTAAAACCCTTTTCCCGCACTGGATTGGTTGATGTTTGCACCTACAAAAGATGTTATGAGAACAACAATATCAGTCCCTTGCAACATAGCTAATTTACATAATAAAAAAATATTCATTTCGTCATCAAGAGATATAAAAGACAATACCTCTTGGGCCTTTATGCCTTTTCGCTCTGCTACACCCCTCTCAATTTCAGTCATACCTGTTCCATAGATTTCACCTCCAATAGTGCACTTGAAGAACTCCATTAAATTTCTTGTCAAAGTTCCAGTTTTATCAGAGAAAATGTATTCTACCTAATCATACAAACAATTTAAAATGATTTAGAACTAGATAGGAGGGAAAAGGGGGGGATTGGCTGTGTCTAATTTTTTTTTGATAAGAATTTCAGGCCTCGTTAAAAACCCCCTTCTTGATTAAAGGAGTTTATATGAACTCCTTAATCAGTGGAAGGAGGAAAAGAGCGCCTTAGGATTTTATTGAACCATAAAATTACATAAGATACAACCATCATACACCCCACCAACCAAATAAACTTGAAACAACCATAAAACACCCGAAATATAAGACTAGAATAAAATCAGCCAATTCCTTCTTTAGCTAAGGCATCAGCCTCTAGATTGGCTGACCTATTAACCCATCTTACAACACCTTCTAAAACATTAAGCCTATGAACAATATCTTTGATCAAAAACGCATAAACATCAGGAACTAGATCCTCTTTCTTAATCCAGCCTACCGCAACTTTGTTGTCGCTTTCAATAATCAGACGACCCTTCCTGTCTCGTAAATTCGCATTGAACATTAGACCCTTTTGAATAGCTTTTAATTCCATAAAAGTTGGAGCTCCCAGACCGGCAGATTCCTTGAAAGAACTTAAAGTCGAACCCGAGGAGTCCTTTAGAACACCTCCTATCCCACTCTTCTTCCAATCTCTTGTAGTAGATGCATCAACATTTAACTTTACAAAACCTTGAGGAGGAGGAGACCAAGAAAATATAGATACAAGCCGATTAGGATAAAGAGAGCACAAATCCCCTAATGAAGGGTCTGAAAAGAGAATCCTTTGGAATAGACACCTCTTTGTACTTAGCAAGGAACCAAGAGGCTAGTCTAAACCTTGCTAGGAAAAAATATTCAGCCAAATCTAGCTTTCCCCCTTCAAACACAATGAGATTCCTTACTTTCCAAGTAGTCCAAATAACTGCCCCAGGAATAAAAGACCAAATTCTAGAAGACTTCAACTCAGCCCAAGCAAGTAGGAATTTTTTCGCATTAAAATGCAAAACATACTTAATCTTCCAGAAATTCAGAAATTTGTTCCAAATCATCCACACCACCGAACACGTGAAAAACAAGTGCGATGGAGACTCCACCTCTCTCTTACAAAGAGGGCACCTAATGTCTACAATTCCTTGAATTCCCCTTTTAACAAGTTCTGACCTAACAGCCAGCTTCCCTAACACCACCTGCCACATAAAGGACTCCACTCTAGGTGGAATCTGGCCCCTCCAAATAATCTTCTTCCAGAAATATACCTCTTCCGAATCCGAAATAATGGTTGAACAAATCTTAGTGCCAGATTTAACAGTATATACCCCATCTCCAGTACCTTTCCAAATCACCCACATAACTCCGTAGATAGAGAAACAGAGGAGATAGCATTCATCAAGTTAACCCACTCTTCTACTTCCCAGTCGTTTAAATTTCTTCTAAACTGCACATCCCAACTCCAACCATATGAGCTGTAATTCCCAAATTCAACCAGTTTACCCATTCTATTTGTGGAAATGGAGAACAATCGAGGGAAAATAATTAGAAAATGAAAGTCCAACGCCCAATTATCCTGCCAGAACCTAATTAATCTGCCATCCCCAACTCAGAAAGAATACAAACTTCTAAACTTAGAGCCAATATTGTCTTCTTTAAAGTGATTCAAAACCACCGATCTCCAAATCCAAGATACTCTTTGTGGGACTTTGTTATCAAACATTAACCAAAATGGATCCATTTTGTATTTAGAACAAATGAATTCCCTCCAAACAGACCCTCTTTCATTAGCATACCTCCAGTACCATTTTGCTAGAAGAGCTCTATTCATGAAACCAAGGTTTCTAACACCTAAACCCCCCTCGAATTTTGACTTGCACACATTCGGCCAGTTAACCCAATGTATCTTATTTTTACCTACTCCCCCACCCCATAAGAAATTCGCCATAATGGAGTTGAGAGATTTAAGAACCGCAGCTGTATCTTAAATAAAGATAAATAATACGTCGGGAGCGAACATAGAACCGACTTTATTAAAACCAACCTTCCTGCTAATGACAGGGAAGCCACCTTCCACCCGCTAATTTATTCATAAAATTATTCACCACCGGATTCCAAAGTGCTGTAGAGTTCCTAGTAGCACCCAAAGACAGTCCTAAATATTCAGAGGGAAAACTACCCACAGAACATCCGATAGAGTTAGCCCACTGCTGAACTTCTTCCTCATTCATATTCACACCAAACATTTACTTTTCTTCAAGTTGAGTTGTAAACCAGAAATCACTTGAAACACTCTAAGCACCCTCTTCACATTTAAAATCTGCGTCTTGGATGCACCACAAAACATAATGAGATCATCCGCGAACTGTAGATGAGATAGTTTTAAAGCGTCAGCACCCCTTCCTAAAACCAGTCCAGAAAACAGACCCTGCTCCACAGCCTTCACAATTAGCAGATTGAGAAGTTCTCCAATAAAATTAAACAACAGAGGTGATAGAGAGCACCCCTGTCTAAGACCTTTAGCCATTGCAAATTCCTCAGTAGGAACTCCATTCACTAAAACAAAACTGAAGCTGTGGTTACACACTTTCTGATCCAACCTCTCCACCTGGAACCAAATCCCATTTTCTCCATTACTAGAAACAAAATGTCCCACTCCCGAATCATACGCTTTCTTGAAATCTACCTTGAGAACACAACCTTTAAGACCATTTTTCCTCCAATAATCCACCCCTTCATTCGCAATTAAGAACAGTCCAATATTTGTCTCCCTTGGGTGAAGGCAAATTGAGTAGGACTAATTAAGTCTGAAGTACAGTTCCTCAACCTCCTCGATAGGCACTTAGATAGGATCTTATATAATCCACCAACTAAGCTAATAGGCCTATAATCATCAAGGTCACCACTGTTCAAGACCTTAGGAATAAGAGTAATAAAGGTATGGTTGATGCCATGATCCCAATCTTTCCCCGAATAGAAGTTGAAGAAGAACTTCATAATTTCTCCTTTAAGAACGCCAATATCTCTTGAAAAAACCCAAATTAAAACCATCCAGCCCCGGGGCTTTGTTGCTATTGCAAGACTTTAAGGTCCCATATTTCCTTCAGTAAATTCTTTCTCCAAAATTAAACTCTGCTGAATCGAAATTCTGGAAAAATTCAACTCGATTTCTTCACTTCTAAGGTCGATTTGTCATTAAAAGCCTTAAAGAAGTGATCTTTGACAGTGGCTTTTATATCCTTTGGGTCTTGAATAACATTACCTTGCAAATAATAGCATTCAACGCATTTCTTTTCCTCCTAACTGAAGCACATGTATGAAAGAATCTGGTATTTCTGTCCCCATCTTCTACCCATTTGGATCTAGAATTCTGGAACCAAATCTGCTTCTATCTTATGCAACTTCCACAATTCTGACCTTAACTCCTTTAACTCAGCAGCTTTCTCATCATAAGTACATCTTGCTGCTGTTGAACCTCCACTTCTAAATTTGAATCTTCAATTCTATTTCTGAAATTAAAGCTCCAGGAAACTTTCCTCTCTTCCCTGCCCAATTTTTAATGGCAGTTTTGGTTTTTTCAGAATTTTGAAAATTCCAGCATTCCTCTGTATCTCTTTGCATTCTTGAATTGAAGACTGATCACATCCTCAAATCCTGCTTCATCCATCATATAGTTAAACAGTTTAAACGGCTTTTTCCCAATTCACACCTCCATTCTCAATAATTACTGCATTATGATCTGATAATGATCTTGGCAGCAAAGACTGTGCTAAATCTGGAAAAGCTGCCAAGAATTGGCTATCAACCAAAATCTATCCAGCCTTACATAGGTCGGTGAATCTTGGTTATTACACCAAGTAAACCTACCACCACTCGATGGCAAATCGATTAGGCCTGTAGTAAGAAGAAAACGACTGAAAATCTCTAAAGAATTCCTGTTTTGGCCTTCTACCAATCTTCTCATCTTCCTGTAGATACACATTAAGGTCCCCTCCAACACAAATAGGCTCAGAATGTCCTCCAATGAACGTGCTTAATTCTTCAAAAAAACTCTCTTTTCCTCCTCAACCGAATGACCATACACATTAATGATCTGCAACTGAAATTATTTGCCCGAAATCTCCCGATATAGCAATAAATCTTCTAGATGTACACTGATTTTGCAACTCAAATACGTTATCATCCCATAACATCAGCAAACCCCTGACGAACCAACCAATGGGACTCAATAACCCCTTTCAAATTATTTAACCCACTCCTCCTCAAAAAGACCTTTGAATTTTCTCCAATTTCGTTTCCTGCAACCAAAGAAATTGAGTACAATATTTGAAAACTAGCCTCTGAACAGCCCTTTTTTCTCTAATCTACCCAATCCTCTAACATTCCATGTTATTATAGATATCTTTAACATCATCATAAAGAATCAACCACTAGTCCCCCACAAATCCCCTACTTGTCCATCCTCGAGCCTTTTTCCAAACTAATAATCTTATCCAAAAAGGCTTGTTGTCCTTGTTTAAAGGAAATACCAACAGCTTACTTATCTCCCAAGTAACTAAAGCTTCATCCAATAAATCTGAAAAACCAGAAGAGGAAGCTGTTGAAATGCTCACTCTTTCTAAAGCTTCCCTTAAAAAATGTCTTCTAGCTCTTCTGATAAAAAAACCCGATTCAAAGCTGTGATTATCACCCATTAACTGCAATCCTTCAACCACCCTTTCCACACTCATATCCCCCGAATCGATCCATCATTCACAACCCTGAAACTCTACTCCACTGACAAGCTCCAGTTGATTTCCTCTGGATTTCATATTTCTCCAGTCCCTGACGATTAAGGCACTATCTTCTTAGGCTTAAAATTCAAGATACTTCTCATCCAGTATTTTCTGCCCCTACACCTTTTGTAAACCCTTTTATAACTTCTACTTTTCCTTTTCTCTAACGAAACACTTTTGGTGCTTAGCGAACTGTCAGACTTATAACACAGTCTACCCTTAACTTTGCTTCCTGAATTATCAATGGTAGGCTCTATCACCCTTAAATCAGAATCCTTGGCTCGAAAACCACTGCTCAATTATCTCTGAATCTGACCTCCTCCCCACATCTTCTCTGCTACAACTTGACTTATCCAAATCCTTATCTTGAACCATTTTCCAAATTTATCAATTTTAATTTTTGGCCCAGCAAGAATATCCTCGTACGTTAGGCCCAGCAAACTCATCTTCTTCTGAATGGACTTCAGAATCTCAATCCCAAACCTCCAAACTCACCCACTTGACACTCCCTTCATACTGCACAACTGACTTTCCATTAATGTCTGATCTATTTTAACACAGTCTACCCTTAACTTTGCTTCCTGAATTATCAATGGTAGGCTCTATCACCCTTAAATCAGAATCCTTGGCTCGAAAAACCACCCTGCTCAATTATCTCTGAATCTGACCTCCTCCCCACATCTTCTCTGCTAAAACAACTTGACTTATCCAAATCCTTATCTTGAACCATTTTCCCAAATTTATCAATTTTAATTTTTGGCCCAGCAAGAATTATCCTCGTTACGTTAGGCCCAGCAAACTCATCTTCTCTGAATGGACTTCAGACCCAGCAGCCGTCATTTTTGAATCTCAATCCCAAACCTCCAACTCACCCCTTTGACACTTCCCTTCATACTGCAACTGACTTTCCATTAATGTCTGATCTATTTTTGAAATTCTTGGAAACCGATTCTCTCCACCACTCCATCAAGCCTGAAAGCTGCCCGTTCCATCCAACTGTCCCTCTCTGACAGTTTTCTTCTGATTAGCAAATCTTCTCTGACCATATCTGTCCCTTCGTTCTCAGTCATGAACGCTCCCAACTTTCCCTCATCGGAACTGACCACCGAAGGATTTGTGGAAAAGAAAATACTCATCATTCGCCGATCCAATCTTCATTGTTACTTTAAAAGATCTTCCATGATCCAATAGTAATCTGATCTGGAACATCAAATGGACTAGCCACCCTAATTAGCAATCTTGCCTTTGTAAGATCTTCCCTGTTTAGTGTCATCAAGATATCTATAACCCTTCCTCATCTCCCTGCTAACCTTTCAAGGAAGGATTCATTCCACATAAAAGAGGTAACCCAAAAAACTCCACCAAACAAAAAGCCAAAGGAACACATCTTCATTCAGTAGGCTCTAAACGATCAAACCAAAATTGAAGATCTCTTCTTCTTCATCCAAGCATCTGACATTTCTTCAACTTTAAAGATTATTACACAAGAGTTCCAGACATACCCCCCATCTAACAATCTGGACGTCATAACCTTCATTAACTAAAGCATTAAGAACTAACTCTAACTCAAATAAATTCTTGATAATCCCCGTCAATGATCTTTTAACCCAGCTCGAGCTCTCAGATGAAATGTGCATGCATGATTTTTTCCTGACTTTTTCCCTGTTTTCAGCATCGACAGCCAAATCTTTGACCTCCAGAACACTCCTCGACCTCCTATTCGACATCAATGCATCCTTGTATGATCTGGCATCCCTCAAACTTCTAGAACATCATCTGGCTCTTTTGGATTCGAAATATCAGCAGTGATTGGACAAGCATCCTTCTTAAAATCTTTATTATTACGCTCTACCCATGCTCGGGATTCATTGTATCTTGCGACTCCAACCGTGATCCTTCTCCCATCTATGATCGCTCCATTTAGATTTTCTATAGCCCTTCTCAAACCATCCTCATTCCCAAACTGCACAAAAGCAAAAGGAAAATCTGTATTTTGGGTTTCTAGTTTCCTTAGGGATATAGACTCTTGAACTGGACCATAAACTAAAACATTTCCCTTAATGCACGTCTTGACACTCTCCGACTAAGATTATCCACGAACACCTTCCAAATCTCCTCTGAAAAAAGATTATTTTTCGCCCTTGCACTCACAACTTCTTCTCTCTCTCTCTCTCTCTATTATTGTTTCTACTGATAAATGTTGACTATTTAATCCTGCTCCTTAAATGTCGGTTCCTTTCACGCATATGTGATTCCTTTTCTTTTATCTGAAATCTTGAGATCACAAGCAGGAAGAATAGCTGCTCAACTGCTCAATATTTATTTCTTTTGGCTGTGTCTAATTCAAGTCAGTAAAAATTACATGTGCTTACCTGTCCAAGTTCCTCATTCAAATTAGATGTCCTAGCCAAAGCAGGGTGTCGGTTTCAGCATGATATATTTAGATCCTTGTTTGATATTGAGTGGACTGAATAAACTTGACCATCTATTAATTGCATATGAAAACCATTAAGATCATTTTTGTGTATTGATAAAGCAAGAATCAAATAATAAAGAAAACCGAAAGGCAACCTCAATTGAAACATATAGATATAGGGATAATTGTAGTATAAAGTGAGTAGGGTCAACATGGTCAAAAGAACAACCTGTAAAACCAGCAAAGAGGATTGAGTACAGTTTCATGTGTATTGAGGGTGTGTATGGGATGTGAAAGAGAGATTCAGACCCAACAAACATATATTACCAGAAATCTTCTTAGGGTTGAATTGATCTTCCACACTTTTACCAAGACCTAAGAAGTACTTTCGATTATGAATCACCACTGCAAATTTCAAGAAGAGAACATCATTATCAATAAATTCACAGAACAATTTGAAGAAATCCCAGAACATTTAGCAACACATATTGCAAGTGCAGACTTGCTATTTCACGCACCTGCCTATTGCTCCAATCAGACACATAGTGAAAAGAGTACAAAGAGAGTCAGTATAAGTTTGTCAGTTTCCTCTCTAATGTACTTCTTTTGAAGGAACATTCATGGAATTCATCATAACCTGCAAACTCAACCAAAATTCCCACGAAAGGATATCAACTTAGCAGAACAGAACGAATATAAAGAGAAGAAAATAACACTGTTTCTGCACTACATTAGATAAACATAAATAACTGCTATTTGCTCAGTCATCAAAATGATAATACAAATGCAAGGGTCAAAGGCTGAAATTATTTGAATACAATAGAAAAGTTCTTTTGTACGTAAGGGTTCATTTTTACATTTCCGATAATGCAAAAAAAATCCAATATGTAACTTGTTTCATGATAGTGCATATAAGAGACATTATAAAACTTGGATAGCGAACCTTTGTTTCATGACCAGTAAAAATACAACCCCAACTATGAACTCCGTATTTTTCAGACTGCAACCCTGAAATCAAATTGTCAATACCTCAGACAGTTAAGCTCATCATGGAGAAAGAACATCAAATACAATATTTCCAGAGGAATACAAGATGAGGAAGGATGAAAATCAATATACCCTCAGTAAAATCTGATTTGGAGAAAGAGGCAATGTTTGATTGTCTATTACAAGATTGCCGTGAAAGTGTACAAAGAGTTGTTTGGTTGCTCACACTGCACTTCACCTGCAAATTAACAAAAGAGTACTGGTATTTATAAGATCAACTATAACCTTAATAAATATTTTAGTCAGCTGGTAATACAAAAGCAAATAGCATCAAAGACCTGTGACAGTGTAAGACACAATCAAGGAAATACTCAACAAACATTTAGTTTTTTTATGGTTAATAATGCAGCACTGGAGTTCTAAAATAATTAAAAGGCTTAACCTTTAAATTCACAAGCCTTTTCAGGAGTGATGTAATCCCAAGTCCTTTCTATGCCTTCCGAATTTTAGATTTGTTTCCCCATCCAAATTTGCGGTCTGAAAAGGTCAGAATTTTTTTTAGCAAGTAACTCAACGAATACATAAGAAGGGCACTCGTTTTTCATTAATAGAATAAAAGGTGGAGAAAAAATACGCCAAATAGGATCCCGAACAGGTTATTACCTCAATGTAGCAAACAACCATCAGCATTTGTACTAGCAAGTAAAAGCATATCAGCAGGAAAAAACCATCCTGCTTAACCTGCAACAAGGGAAAATTTTCACACCATCTCCTATATTTACACAAGTAGTAATATTCCTGTAACTCAACTTAACAGCCTCAATCATAATAATTATATTGTAATATCAACAAAAACAAATTTGCCACCAGAAAGAAAGGGGGAAAGGGGATGTCAGAGTGTCATAAAAAAATAAAGACAATCATCTGCAATGTTAAACATAATGAATGTCAAAGAACTCTCCTTCAATAACTGTACTCAATCTCAATAAGACTGGCCAAATATAATCAACAAAACAGTATCTAGAAACTCACCTTGATAATATCTCCAACCGCAACTTTTTCCATGGAATAGACTCCCACCTTTGATCGTGCAACACATCTACAAAGTTATTTATTGCCATATCATCATTCTGGAAACGTTTCTGTTGTAGACAATAACAAGAAAAAGCGTAATAGAATTCAGCATTAAATCTAAATATAGAAGTCAAAGCTCAAGCTGACCCTTCCAGAGCCTTAAGCCCTGGGCACCCCAAACCTACCAAACCAAAAATAAATGAGAAAAATGAAGCCGAGATCAGCCCAAGCCAATGGGAAAAAAGTATGACTAATATGAAATGCACTCACCCAGTCCTCAAATGCCTCTTTAATAAGAGAAACCAAAAGCACCAGACTTAGAGGAACCACATTTGTTACAGGATGCACAGGACTGCATTGACCAAAAGGGAATGTTAATTACAGAACAGAGCTTGTCAACACACAATCAGTCTTACAAGTCATTATTGCAAAGAAAAAAATCACACCAGAAGAAGAGGGAGGGGTCAAAAGGAGATGTCTTACATGCTGGAGAATAGATGTCAGTAAATGCAACAAATGAGCACAAGGAAGAGGTATAAGAAATATGGAGAATGCATAATAATATCTGAAAGATTGATTTACAATTTGTACTAAAAGCAGCTGACTGGCTCCTAGAGAAAGCTATCCATTTAAAAAAAAAAATTATAGAACTTCTTAGAAACAATGTGAATGAGGAAACATATTAACTCTTTTCTAAAACTGGAAGCAATGCCAGAAATTCCATTGGAATGTTAAATTTTAAGGAATGGAAACATGATAGCAGGACATTAAAAATAATTGACAATATTGATAGTCATGTCCGCTTCTGTGGATAAGACTCTCAGTTCCAATATCTATTAAAGAAAATGGAGTACATTAGACCAATGAAAATTAATAGTATTTCACTCGAAGATGAAGATTTAGATCAGAGACAAAAAAACAAGTCATTATGTTCAAGGAGGAATTCAATCAAGCCCTACACCACAATCATACTTCAAGTGAAGTCAGGTTGTGTGAAAGTTGAACAAATTAGCGTGATAATTCCAACACCAACGAAAAATTCTTTGTAATCACAAAAGGCAACAAAACTCAACTATATGGTAGGAAAACTTACCTATATGGAGTTTGCTAGAATAGATACCGTTAGAAAGTACAAGTTAGCAACCCGTCTGAACTGTCAGAGTAAAACAGAACTTTGTCAGGAGGTAGCCAGAATGTAGAAGCTCCAAACTCTAACCAAATCCACATGATGGATTAAGTTAGATTTCTAACTCATATTCCAAACCCAAAAACCAATGGTCGTACCGTGAGGTAGTAACTTATTACAATAATGGTCAGCATGTCATTTTTAAAGTATCAACCAATACATGGAGAACTTCTTGGAATTACATATGGTAATGGTTGTCCTTTAAACAATCTGATAACAAATTCAACCTTTCCACTTCTATTCCTTAAAGGATAGTATGTCACATCAAGCATGAAATCAAAATAAATTTAGCCACTTTAGTTGTTTAACTCTTAAGAAAAATAAATCATATACTAAAAGCAATGATTAAAATTTTCTGGAGTTGTAAATAAAGATCATACACACCTCCCATTAGAAATGAAAGTAGGTCGTAGAATTTGACACAGAAAAGGCGAATCTTTGATGGAACATGCAAGGTGATACAAAAATATTTTATTTTACATTCTTAAAGAAAGGTTAAAACTCTCTTCTTCACAAAACCATGATTAGCTAAAGAATAGATGCAATACCTCCACTGTGTTCCCTAACCATGCCTGTTCTGATATGGAAAAGAATAACCATATCCATGGCGTAAAGTCATACAAGTTATACCATGTATTTGATTAGCTTTCATAAAAACCAATAACTATATCACATGAAGACAAGAATAATCACTCATTTAATCATTATTAATAAGAATTGAAGAAAACAATTTTATTGAAATCCCTTTCGAGGTTTTTATCCTGTTTTTGAGGTATTTAGAGTTAATCTTGATTCCCTAATCATGCTTACAACATAGTCATGGTCAGGTTATTATTAAACCATAAGTAGCACAACCCTAAAAGGTGTTAATGATAAATTCACATCATACAACCTGCCCATTTCACTGCTAGAGAACTCCAATAAACTTACCTGTTCATAAAGCCCCTTTGGTAGAAAGGTAAAAGTTGTACTTGTAGTTGATATTGAGTTCCCCTAAACAAGATACCATGGTAATGAGAAACACATCCAACTTATCAGAGCAGATGCAAGAAACAAAGTATGAATACAAACAAAGCTTCTGGAAGAAAAAATCTTACACAAATGATGCAAATTCAGTCACAATCCCATTTATACAAAACATAAAGAACTTATTTTTAAGCGCATTTATCAATGGTAAATAAGCTTTTATATCTACTCTGACATACCACATAATCGGTAAGTTCAGTTGTTTAATTGAATATTCATTTAATTATTGTTTATCATATTAATATATAATAATATAATAATGATATGTGACATACTTTGTACTAATCTTTTAGTAATAAAATTGAGGCATTCTTTTCCTCCTTCCGCTGATTATGGAACATCTTAGGGTGTTTTAATAATCATGAAGGGGGTTTTCAACAAGCCTCCACTTCTTATCAAAACGATTTCTACAAATAACAACTCTCCTAGTTTATAAAAAGATGAAGATATAAGCACCAAATCAGGCTTCTAAGATTAACTAAATATGACATCAACATAATAAAATCATTAGGAATGTTCTTCAACTTTTTCAGTTTAGCTAAAATGCGAACTTCAGTATAGTAAGATTCTCTTCTCACAGATTTACATTTCCTTCACTTAGCATTGCCCAGTGGAAGTTCTAATATTACTGGTCTAATATTAGAAGCAACATCTCTGTTTCCACAGGATCCAGTAAAATTAACATTTTACAGAAAACTAAAAATAAAAGCGAGAAAACCACGCAACAACTAAAATTTAACTAAGCCAAGAAAATAGAAAAAATAATAAAAACCACTAGAAGTCTAAATCATGCTTCTCCTGATGGTAAGGTTAATTTAGTAAACATTTAAATAGATTCAGTTCACAACAGCTCCTATTTCCAGGAAATCAAAACTCCAAACAGGAATCGTACACTGAAAATACTATAACCACAATTTAAAGTATAAATTAGATAACTACCCTGTATCGATGGGCGAAATTGGCGTCGCGGTCATTGCAGTAGATGGTGCGGTAAGCAGGCGCCTGAGGTTGTACCCGACCCAGCGTGACAGTTCGAGACGGCGCATGTTGGCCAAAGCTCTCACTACGACCTTGTTGCGATCTCGTCGATGACCTTATGTTCCCATCTACTCATCTCCTTCGTTTTTTCAGAGATCCAGTAAAAAAATCAAAACAAATCGACACACTAGATTCAGAAATGGAATCTCGATTGATTTTTTCTATGGCCAGGACAGCTGCTTCCCGAATCGATGGAGCTCGATTGAAGGCGAGAGGTCTCCTTTGCGACGATGAAACAGAGAGAGAGAGAGAGGCCTCTTCTTCAATTCAATTTTTAGTTTTTTTATTTTTTATTTTGCTTTAGTATTTTCTTTACCCTTTCTTTGTTTGCTTAAACAATCTTTTATTCCCCTTTGAATTTGGATTCTTTGAACAAGACTACACTCGAACCGCGTTATCCCTTTTGCTTGCATATACGTTTCGGCGCGTGGTTGTTCCTCTTCGCGCCAATTAAAAAGCAGGTTAGCTGGTTTCTTAATTAATAAGGCGCGTGATAGATGACGTGGTAGGGGCAAGGTAAAATCGGGAAGATGCGTTCAAGCGCCTACGAGGACTTTTCCTTGAAAGTGGAGGAGTTAGAACGACGTCGTTTGGTGAATACTCCGTGACAATCTCCCATAGAGAAATTACTACAATGACTCAAACTCCCTTAAAATAAATAATATATTATATTATTTACCATTTAAACTAACCACGTTGATATTTTATATGTAAACTTAAATACTATATTCTAGAAAAATTCGACTGACATTTAAGCTTCGGTGAATCCGAACAAGTAAACTTTCTTGTACAACAACAATAATCAATCCCAAGAGATTATGTTGTTCAGGTATTAGAGCAGAAGGCGTGGAGCCTAAACATGTGACAATTGAGTAAAACAACACATTGTCCAAAACACAAGTATGATGTTTAAGGCACTAATTTGTAGCATTCTTTTTGACAGCATTAGCATCTCCGTGCCAGTTTCAAGCAAGGAAAAATATGAGTCTCTCGGTTTTAGCATGATGCAGTATACTTCTTCGGCTAAGACTTAAGGATGAAGCATTGCAAATTAATGCTCTTATTGTGTATTGACAAGGGTTATCTATATTACGTTGTTCTTTCGAAAGCGCCACCCATATGCAACCACTCGGGTGATGTGCGACTGTATTCCCTTGTTGCTTGTGAACCAATGCCATTCCAGAAGTATCAAAAGCCATACTGAAACGGGAAAAAAAAGATAGTTACAAAAGGCGGGATTCTCTACAATGAATTTGGAGATTACCTAAGATTACTACATCGGAGAAAGATTATTCAAGAGGTAGATTCATAACGGTGTAAATGAACAACACGGGATCGATGAACAGTTATTTTAAACAAACATGAACTCGAGCACAAGTCTGTTCGTTCAAGCGAGTTCATTTACAGTCATAGTGTCAATCCTTATGAAGGAAATCGTGCAATCCATTAAGAATTCAGGAATGGTGTTCTTTCTATTTTTTTTCTTTTTGGGGGTGCTACCAACTACAACAGAAGGCTACATGAATCTAAGATGAACACGGTACAAGTTTGATACACTACGAGCACCCAAGCTTTAGATGAATGAAAATACAACCTAGAAAGCATATGCCTATGCTAGCACAAAAAATGGAAAGTGATCAAAATCCGGACCTCAATTAATTCAACAAAAGGGTTCAAGGACAGACAGAATAAGTACTTACATCTTTAGGTTGAAATACGTCAATGGCGGCGTTCATTCTTGAATTGACTGCTCCAAGCTTCATTGACAGGACTGCAACACCGGAAAATTTCAGAACATGAGTTTGAGATAAGTAGAGGAAAATTGCAAAATAGATAGTGATACATGAGCAGAAGGATCCACACCTCGACCTGATGTTGCAGTGATTGGATGTAATTAATTATCTCATCAAGGACAAGAGCTTTGCCAATAACCTGAGTCCAAAACAAAATAACTTAGCAAGTGGCTTAAAATATGCAGTATCTCAACACGGTTTGTTGTAGCAGGCAATAGAAGTCAATGACCATAGCAGGGACAGGTTCACAGCACTCAAAGCACTAGTTTTTCTTATACATCAATACTGAACAACAATTAGTCACATCATAGTTTTCCCTTGAAGCTAAGCGGATATGTTAACCATCATATGCACATCATAGTTTTCCCTTGATCATATAGCTCTCCAATAACATGCACATTGCCACGTGTATCTAAACAACAAATTAGGTCTGCATACCTTGTTTAACGAAGGCAAACCCTGCAAGAAACTCCCTTGATCCAATGGAGTTGATGAACTTGGAGAAAAGGACCTGGATGGAGAGGTGAACACATTCAGAATCATGACAGCTACCTTGCTGAAAATCAATGAAAGCAACGTATGAAATCTTATCGGCACAGGTTGAGTAAAGCGAAATGTTCAGAAACAATCAAAGGCAAAGCAATTATCCTACTTCACCCATCCAAACAATCCAGCCATAGTAGGCATTAAATAACAGGCAAGTTAGCCTTTCCTTGGATGAAAAATAGCAGGAAATTCAAGCATCTGTTCGATAATACGGAATAGTGTTATATTAGGAAAGTTTTCTTATCAAAGATTATATTTCCTGCAAACTGAGGAATATCGTTTATCAACATCCCTAACCATATTAGCATGATATATTGTATCTATACTACTAGTAAAATATTCAAGTTCCCATCTTTATCCTGAGGATTCCGATTTCCCATCATCCAAACAGCAATTAATGTTTGAAACACAAGAACCCTAACATAACCAAACCAAATTTCAAAACGGAAAGAGCTGAAAATTTACCAAAAACGCCACTGTTTTCTCTGGTGAGTTATATCCACATCGTTGGTACTTGGGGGTAAAGCGGGGTATAAAAGTGGATGGGTTTCAGTAAATGAAAATAAAACCCTTCGAGCTGAATCGAGCTCAAAATCGAGTTTCAATGAGTCTTTAGGTTTATCGAGCTCCTGAATTTTTTTGAATTCGAGTCTTTTCGAGTTTGAGTCGAGTTTTAATTATATTTGAGTTCGAGTCGAGTTTAAAAATTTTAATCTCGTGAGTTTTTCGAGTTCGAGTCGAACTCGGCAATACTCGACTCGACTCCGACTCGTTTACACCCCTATCCAGCCATTTTTTCTTCTTGCTTCTTCATGAAGCCTCCTCTTTCTCATGTGCAACTCCACCACAGTTCCCTGCCGACAGATCAATGGCTTAGCTTATATCAGCGTTATATCAACGGTTCGAAGTATTCTTAATAAATTTTAAGATATAATTTATAATCATGTAAATTTTCTTTTAAAAGTATTGTTTTAAATTTTAAAAAAATACATAATTTTGATACAAATTTTAATGAAAATAGTTGAATTATCTCATTCCAAACAAATAACACGAAGCGCAAGTTCAAATGATATTTATAAAGTAAAATGATATTTTTAAAGGTCTTGGATTTGAGCTTAAGTAGATATAAATGTTTATTTTAATTAATAAAGAGTCTTTAAATAGATAATATTTTATATTCATCTTAATTTTTTTTTAAAATTAATATTTATAAAGTAAAATGATATTCAAAAGACCAATTGATTCTTTTCGACCACATTTCACTTTTTTATTTTTTTATCTATAATAAGATGATTATATATATACTATTATCTTATTAGAGAGTTAATTTTTTTAAACTGTTAAACTATTTTAAACTAAAATAAGACTTAGATAAAGATTTGTAAATAAATAAAATTTTGAATTATTTTGATCATGGCCAGATTAATAAATTGTAATTTTTATTATGTCATAGCACGTCATCATTCTCACTGAATTAATGATTAAATTTAATTATTAATGACTAAAAGAATATAATCTCAAATAAGATATTAATTAGATGAGTAAACCAAAAACACAAAATAACTAAAATACGTGTCTAAAAAAACAACTCTAATGAAGTAGAATCTAGAATAACAAATTAGTTTAACTAGAGGGTGTTTGGTTTAAAGATTGTGGGATTCTCATGGGATGGGAATCCCACATTCCCATGTTTGGTTGGCCGGGAATCTCATTCCCGGTAATGTTTTATTATCAATAGTAGATTTTATAAGTATTACGGAATGTCATTACCTCCCCCCTTAGGTATTGTAACATTACCGATGTTTTGGACTAAAATGCCCTTAAATTTTTATTTTTTTCAAAATATCATTCTTCTGTCATTGAATAATAAAATTTCAGGTTAAATTACAAATTTATCCTTAAATTATTTTAGATTACAAAAAAAAATCTATAATTAAAATTTTATATGAAGTTCAGGGATTAATTTTTTTTTTACCCTTTCATTAAACATTTTTTATATTTTTAATTTTGTAAAAAAAATTATATAAATATTATGAATTTAATTTTTTAAAGAAAATATATAAATATTTTACAATTTGTAATATTATACAAATATAATAAGGATAATTTGGTCAAATATACATTCCAATAATCTTTTATTCCTTTAACCAAAACGGTAATCTTATATTCTTGCTAAACCAACCAAACACAAAATACAACATTCCCAGTAATCCTATTCCCTAGTAATCTTTTATTCCCACTGATAATCTTACATTCCGTGAACCAAACGCACCCTAATAGTAACTATATAGATCCCTAATTCCATATTCCTATATTATACCATGTTATTTTATTATATAATCACTCGCTATACAGTTTTGTTATTTTTTATTAGACAGGCCTGCTGCATGCATTAAACACACACACTGCATACTACTTACAGGTTATAGCCTTTCAAAGTTTCAATTGGCCAGTTTTGCTCTTAATATGGAAGTGGGTAAATGAGCATTCCCAAGGATCTTGAAGATAAAACAATTGAAAGGACTGTCGATGTAAAAGATAGAATGAAAACTTGCATGGTACTTACCTTGAAAGAGTGAATTCGCAAGTTTTCCATACTTCAAAACAAAATTTAAATATGGCCATGAAAACTGAGAAAAATAATAGTTATGGAGATCTCTCACCTTTGGCATATGCGAAAATCCAGATTGGTATACAGAATTTCTAGCAATCTCACATGAGTCACAAGCACTGAGCTTCCAAACCTGCAAATTACCGATTTAAGAAGATGATAGAGACATCGTGTACTAGTTCCTTTAGAGGGTTTGTGTTGTGGGAGGAAACGTTAATAAGTTTGGATGCATTTTACTTTTGACAGCCTCAGAATATTGGATATATGTGTATAGAGAGAGAGAGACTGTCAAAAGGAAGCAAAACTGTGCTGCAACACTGTACTCTTCCGCAAGAGCTTCCTTTGTCAAATGAATTTGCAAAGGGTCATCAGATGAAAGTG